TTTTTAATCTGATGAGGCTTACTAGGTGCCAAAATGAAAAAAATATTTTGAATGTAGTATTTCTTATTTAGTTCAATCTCTTTTATTTCAGTGTCTCCAGGTCAATTCATCAAGAAGTGTGAGGTCGATGTACAATTATTGCCAGCGGAACATGATGTGTATTAAATTGCTATTTTATTTCTCCATGGTACTATCAACAGCCGGATTTATGTAGTCAATTCTGCAAATAATCGCGCGCGAATATTTATTAGGTATATATCACTAGATCATCGGAATAAAATTAATTTGCAAATTATAGGCCTATTTCTTGTAATCCTCGAACGATATTACATACTTAAATATAATTAGGCGTAGGGATTATAAGTATATTATATTATATAAAACTGCAATCGTTATGTTTTATTTATATTACATTTAAATTGCTCTGATGTAACATTTCCAAGTATGTAAGAAATAAAAGTTATAATTTATAATACGCCTACATCATTGTATGTACTTCCTTTGTTGTAATCGCATTAATAATAGTTATATTTCACGATATTAATCAGTATAAGCCTATAATCGAATTAAATACTTTATAATCAATTCGAATGGAATATACCATTATTATAGGCTACTATATCTTATAAACACTAACATTTTCAAATATATTTACACGATACCAACAAATTACGAAATTTTCAGGCAAGGTACCGTCGAATTTTACAAAACAGGAAATGACGTCGGTTGCTGGGCAATAGCTCGTGCATATTCAGTAACACCTGTGCTCATTAGACTAACAATACAAACTTTTAGCTCAGTTTTGACAAAATCGACGAAAAAGATTTTATTGTTAGTCTAATTAGAACAGGTGTTACTGAATATTCATGATTATGCATGAGCTTGTTGCTTAGCAATCACGTCATTTCCGGTTTTATTTTACTTTTTTAGGGCGTCATCGAAAGGATTTCATTGCTAGTTTAATAGACAAATGACAAATTTGCTAATATTGATGAAACAATTCTTCAATTTTGGTTTACGCCTAAAGGATATCTATTGAATTTATTACTGTAAACACAGACATTGAATAACATGAGAAGATATGCATAATTACATTTGATATTTATTTTCAAGCATTGAAATCAAGTTTGGATTTATATGTAGACCTATATACATTTTATTATATACTGTATACATGTACATTCAGCAAAAATCAATAGACCTGATTTTTATCCTTAAAATTATATAATATATATATATATATAATATATATATATATATGTATATATATATAAACATTAGTAGTAATATATGATAAACATTAGTAGTAATAATACAATATTATTAAACATAAAGCCTACAAGAATTAATACATATTGTTAAAATTATTTGCGAGATTTTTGCAGAGGAAAATATTTAAAAACTAAAATTCACACTATATTTTAATTAATTTAATATCCAGCTTGAGCTTGCTGAGTGACAACGGTTTTGGCTGTCTATAAATAATTGGTAAGTTCTGTCGACCTTTGACAATCGAGTCCGGACATTCTTCCTGATATTTGTAGATTCTTTCTCCTCCTGGAATAGAAAAATATTGAAGAAAAAAAATTAGAAACAGAGGAAGAATTTTTATGGAGTATCAAAAACATAGTAGGGCTATATAAATTTAAAAAAAAAAAAAAGTGAGCACCTCAACCTGAACATTATCCTATATTCAGTTATCGCAATGTATGGACAAATACTTTCATACCACGGATTGAATAAGGATTATTATAAATACATGATATTGGGTAGGCCTAGCAGATCGTAAATGTAAGAAAAAAGTACCATTCGATAGAAATGAATAAAGATTCATAAATACAGTATACGGTATTCAAACAATTATGATTATTATTGTTATTATTCAGGCAAAAGATACAATAATGTAACATATAATACAAATAAATAAGTCAAACGAACACAAAATTAACAAGCGCATTATTTCAAAATGCCATAGTCATTAGCTGCCAGCAGTGGCGAAGAAAAGTATTTTTCATTGGGGTGGGGATGACTGGCGTGTTAGCCAGTGTCGTAACAGGCGTGGGGGGGGGGAGGGAAACTTCCCCTCCCCTGACGGTTTTTACCGGGCTGACCAAGCCCGGTAACCCTTCAGTGTGTCGTACCGGGCTGGGTAATAAGAGAAAAGAAAGAGAGGAGAGGGAGGGAAAGAGAAAGAAGAGGAAAAGGAAAGGAAAAGAAAAAAACAAGAGAAGAGAAAAATAAAGACAAGAATAAAAAGGAAGATATCATAATGACCAGATTCACAACACCCTGCAACCCCTTCTCCACTTCAAAAACTGTCATAACTCCTTTGATCTATGCTGCCCGATGGCGTAACCACTGGGGAACAAGGGGAAAATATCTATCATTGAAAAATCTTCCCCACCCCTTTATAAATGCCCTTTTCATTTCATCCCCTGAAAGCGTCTAAAAATCTCAAATTTTGCATTCCTTGTTAACATGGGCCAATTTCCTCTAAAAATTGCACATTTTAGGGAGTTTTGATCAATTCCAACGAAATTAGAATTAAAAACACCGGGGGACAAGGGGAAAATATCCATCTTTGGAAAATCTTTCCTCACCCCTTGACAAATGCATCCTCTGAAAGTGCCTAAAATTCTCAAATTCTTTGTGCGCATTTCTTGTTACGGTAGGCCAATTCCCTCTATAAATTGCACATTTTAGGGAATTTTCATCAATTCCGACGAAATTAGAATTAAAAACATAAAAATATTTTGCGCGCTTCACCCGCATTTTTTAGGGCTTTTTTAGGTTTATCCTTTTAAGTTATTTAAACACATAATAGTCCCAAACTCAAGAAAGACAAATTTAAGATAGATTGTTTTAACCTAAAAGAAGGGCCTCAATGTGTTATGGTGAGAGAGAATATGTTTGTAATAAATAAAACCATGTGGAAAATGCTTATATTTAGTTATGTAGTTTAGCCACGTGTGTGGCCTATATTATAAATAAGATAAGCCCTATGTCGTATTGTTTTCTGGGTCTATATAATGTTATAAAAGCAGTTATGTTTTGAAAAAGATCTATGTAATAAAAAGGTGGTAATATAATATAATTAGAAAATATTTTCTTAGAATTGGCATGTTTAAATCACACCGAAAAAAGAAAAAAAAAAACCCTCATCGCATAGTCAATATGAATATACTGAACATATTTAATATTATAAAACAAAAGGGCTATTCTTCTTCCTCCTCTTCCTCTTCCTATACTTCTTGTTCTACTACTCTTCTTTACTCTCACTTTGTACACTAAAAATAATAGTAAACCTACTATTTTACTACATATATTCTACAAATCTACAAATATTGTCCTTACGACTGACAGGGCCAGGGCCATCGTTAAATGATGTCAGAGCCACAAATATAGCATCATATTCAATGCGTCATCTAACATCATGGGAACCTAAACTTTAATTACAATTATTTGTTATATACTAGGCCTATTAGAAATTATTATTTTAAGACTTTAACATAGTACATACTGATTAATAATAGCTGAGATTTGATGCACATTTAAGAATTAATAATCGTTTTTAGTATATCTTACTGAATATTTATTGTCTACCAAATGAAATATGAATCATATATGAATCTTTAAAAATACAATTTATACAATATTAATCTTGGTTTTTTTTTATTTGTTTTTTTTAAAATAAACTATCTGTCGTTTTCTTCTTTGCAGCAGCCGACGAATAAAGTCAGTTATTCTACGTTATGATTCTTTATCACTAAACATTAACGATTGACGCACTCCGTTCTGTTGTATGTGTCTGCTGTCGAAAACAAACTTCCTAATCCTAGCCTAATTTTGTGACTGGCTATGATGACTTAGATGGACCATGTTGATTTATTAATAATATGTTTTTTGGGATGGAAAAAAGGAGATTCAATTTCTCGAAAATGCTCCATCAGCACATAGTTTAGTGTGCGCTATGGACAGTGTGGTTATGGAATTTACTAACCACACAATCCACAATCAGGTGATTAAGTCGCAAAACTTTATCTGCATTGTTGGTTGATTAAGTCGCAAAACTTTAGCTTCGTTTGGTGGCACCATTTATCCTAGGTAGACGGCGACCGGTTTTGTTACCGGTTGGTACATTTCTTACAAACATTCAGCCAAAGGCCAGTGAAAGTTGAGACGGCAGCCGCGTTTTTATCGATGTTTGCCATCCTCATGTGAGCCATCGTAAAGTGATGGTTTGCTGGAGTTGCGTTCAATTTAAATCTCCGAACTTCCAAAGCTGAGATATTCTATGAATTTAGGCTTGTATTAATTGCTACAATTTAAAAACGGATGACCATATAATGAATTAGGTGCTAAATTTTGATTTTTAATGCTGGGTAGGGCCTAAGTTAAAAACAGACATTCCGTCTGAGTGGGACTCATTCAAAAATTCGAAGGGGTTCGCTAGAAAACAGGGGGGTTCGCTAGAAAAGGGGGGGTTCTCCCGAACCATAACCCCCCCCCCCCCCCTGGCTACGGGCCTGGGTATGGTAAATTACTAACCGGGAAAATAAATACCCACTCTGACCCAAGACCCCTGTTACGCGCCGGTGTTAGCGCCAATGTGTGCCCTTGTGTGCGGACAGGGGATGTTCCCCCCTCTGAAGCTGGAACATTGATTTTGTAAAATAAATTGATGCAATTTGCTATTATAGGCCTAATCAATCAATTCCTCATCAACCGATATAACCTTAAACATTCTTGGAATTGACATAACATTACTGATGTCCTACACACCCTTCAGTGTGAAATGTGGCTCTCTTTGCAAGCACATTAACATCTAAGGAAAGAAGAGCTTAAATTGGTACCAGATAAAATAATTTTGTTATCAACATTAATACATTATGCTAATTTTCATCTTTGTTAGCGCATAAGACAGTGTAAATTATTTCTGTGACAGTCTTTTGAAGTGTGTAAAGCTCCATTTTATCCCATACATAGTCAAAATATTGGGGAGGATGATACAATGGACCATCCCCCCTTGTCAAATATTCGGGGGATATATCCCCCATCTCCCCGGGATCTACGCCTATGGCTGCCTGGAAAGCATAAACCACTGCCACCAAATAGTGAACCTCCACTAATGATTACTAAGATAATACAGACAATATAAAATGACAGATACAGTAAACATAAATAAATAAAGCATTACATTAAGCCTATAATGTATACATGTTGATGCTAATAAAAACTTAAAATATTGAATTAGTTATACATAATTAAATTATAAATAAATATTTATACAATAGAACAAATATATTTATGAAGATAAATGAATTATTTAATTTTACATTTTAAAAATTAATTATTATATAGATATGTTAATAACTTACATATTAAATTAAATATACAAAATTTGAAGTAGATAGGTATAGTTTATACAATAACAAGTTATTTATAAAGCAAAGATAAATAATTTTACATTTTGTACTCAATCTACTTTACCAATTAAATTGGTTTAACATTTTAATCAACGGGTAAATAGTGTTAATAATTATTCGATGCTCAACCTGCACAAGCAAGACAAAAAATTAATAGACCTTTCCGGAGTGTCAATCAAACTTAACAACTGACTAATCAGAACAGCGCTAGGAATACGCGCGCGTCTCACAAACACACGTGTTGTCCCACAAACGCACGTGTTTGCGTATGTTTTAACACTGTCGTCTTGTGGGACCTTAGCAACAATATCGAAGGGGCGGGGCTTAGCGGAAAGGTCCATTGTGATCAAGAGAATACCGGTAACAATTATTGAACATCAGGAGTCCAGCCCATTTATTATATTGTAGTCTATGGATAATTAATTTTTTTTTTTTTTGGTGGAGTCGAACGATAGGAGTCAATGTTAGTTTATAATTTATGGTAAATCAGGCTTCATGAGCAAGGCAGTTGTTTTTTAAATTAAAACTAATAATTTTTAGCTATTTACAGCAACTGTGTTACTGGGGCCCAGCATATTAACTTTGCGGATTGTCCGTGCATAAATGGCCACATAGAAAGAGTCACGCTCACCCACGGCTCATATCTGTTTTTTTTTTTTTTTTTAACTGTGTCTGGTTTCATTAATTTCCCCTTTTTCATATTTCGACTTTCTTTTGGAGGGGTGCCATGAGTGTTTTCTCGTAAACGGATACCGGTGCTTTTTAAATTTTCAATATTATTATCATTATATATAAGATGGTCATTAACTGCTCTGTATTTTCGAAAAAAA